TCACTATCCTCAATTTTCTTGAATTCATCCAAAAATAAGTAAATTTAATTTTTTCGACATATTACTTTAATTTTCCCTCAAATAAATAGTAATAGAGATATAAAATATATAATAGATACCGTGTGTGAGTTTCAAAGTTTCTTTATTAAAACAAAAAATAAAAAATAAAATTTACACTAAGAATTAACAAGCAAAAAGGAAAATGCAAGTAAGAAAGAAAAAGTAAAAGAAAAGATTAAAATTAGAAAAGAAAAAGTAGGGAAATAAGTACATATGGGTCCCACAGTATACATGTGGCAGCCAAATGAGGCCTCACACAACTGACAGTATGTGTGCCTCGCCCAAAATAAAAAATTCCGATTAGGAAGATCAATGGCAATTTTATAATTTTAAACATTATTTATGGGCAAAGTTATAAATAAATTTATAAGTGTATAATTAATGGTCAAAATAATTTTCTAGAAGAATCCAATTTTTCTTTTCAAGAATCACAAAAAGTTTTGTTTCATGTGTGGCCCCACAAATTCATTTTATTTTATTTTTAAAAATCAATTTGTATTTGTTTGATTATAATAATAATCTGAAAAATATTTATACCTTTATACTCTTGACAATTCAAATCGTTCATCTATGTTTATTACTACTATAATATATTCAGTATAATCCTACAATCTTCCATTTATGTAATTTCCTTTTAAATTATATATAATGTTTTTTAAACATAAGTATTCATATAATTTTATTTAGCTTATTTTATCTTAAAAAATTGTGACTTAAATTAAGAAAACAAAAATGTCACAATTCTAAAGAGATTAAAAAAAAAAGATTTGGTAATGTAAAAATTAAAAAAAAGAAGACAATAGTGACTGCATAATTGTAGTTTAAGAAGACACATAACCAATTAACGGGATAAATTTTGAAATAGTATAAATATATGGATCAAAAATTTATTTGACATAGAATTATATATCATATACTTAGGAAACTTCTATAATAGATAAACTACGAATTGACCTTCATATAATAGACTAATAGTGAGTTGCACTTTTTAGTCTTGATTTCTACTTCTTGCAATATTGAATTATGATAAATTAGTGTCATTCGTCGAGAGTAGAGAGCATATTAAATATTAGATTATGAATGCTTTACAACTTAAAAATATATGTTTTCTAAATTGATATCAATATTTGAATTTCAAAATTAAGTTACTTTACTACCTTATTTATATTAAAATTTTGGTAATTATCGACAAAATATTGATAAAAAAATAATATAAAAAATAATAGTGAAAAAGCTTTAGTATTTTCATTTTAAATTTTGTTAAAACGGCAAAATAGTTACAAAAACTTAAATTTTATAAATATAAAATTGGTCTAAAGTTTGTACTCACTCCATTTCGATTTATGTAATGTTTATTTGCTTTAACATGAAGTTTTTTTTTTAATAAAAAAAAACACTTTTAAAACTCGTGGTCTAAAACAAATCATAGATGTTCATATGACTATAAATCATCTTACTAAGAATAAAATGAATATTTTAAAGTCAAAATGTTATTAAATATATTAATACATCATTCTTTTGAAATTGATTACAAAGAAAAATATGTCACATAAATTAAAGTAAAAATTACATAAATTTTCATAGTGTTACGAGCTAAT